TTCGTTAAGTTTGTGTTCATTTTTTTAGAAAGAAGAAAGGAGAAAGAAAAATAAAAAATCTCTCACTCAAAACATCCAAACCACATCTTGAAACTCGATTAAAAAAAAACTATAGAGGTGATTCCCTACCTAATAGTAACAAAATCTGTGAAGGGAATGGTGCAAATCACCCCATCAGCGAGTCTCGATGGTTACCCCGTGAAGACAACAATAATATTCCACTAAGACTTGGCAAATTGTGCGACCCGTCGAAGTTAACTTTTCAATAATAGCAAAAGAAATCGGACAAGGAGTGAGACTTGAGTTGAGCAAATATCATATCTAAAAATCTAACACAATCTTCTAAAAATATGCTTCAAAATCAAACCACGAAAAAGCTATGAAATGACTATTAAAAACTAAGTCCTGTTAGTGATTTATGAGTTTTTTTTTTTTTGTATTTATGAGTCATTTATTTTTATTGCAAATTTGCCTCCAAGAAATCAAAGATTCAGAGGGCTTTGTGTATGGCTTGAAAATGTTAGCTTCGTCACGAACCAATGGAACTGCAATGCTGGAGTCATGCCAGAAGCAACGAAGGGTATTTCGGTCGTTTTCTTACATGGATCTACCGATCTGGAGTGTTTCCGTCGTTGGAGCTCGTCGGCGTCGGGTGGCCGGCCAACAACGTCCATTCGGCTGGAGATGGCCGACCCATTGAGGCAGGCATGTTGTAGGTGGTCGACTGGAGAATTTGGTCGGCCCAATGAGGTCGTCTGCTTAAAGTAATTTGACTGACCCAATGAGGCTAACCGGCCTACTGGGGTAATTTGGCTGGCCCAATGTGGCTGACTGGTTAGAGGTGGCAGACCACCCAACGCCGACTAGCTCTAACAATGGAAATGCTCCAGATTTGCAGATCTTAGCAAGGAAAGGACTGAAAGGACCGAACTTGTTAAGCAGTCCATGGATAGAGCCTTGAAGAGATGAACTTCTTGATCTGGTTAAAGAGGAACTCCAGTATGGTGAGGGGGTGTTGAGAAATCATTATTTGTGACGAAAATTTCTCCAAGTCTAGGAAAAATTTTCAAATACTTGTTGACTGAACGAAATATGGGATGACTACCCTATCACAGTTGTGCCCAGGACGTTAACGTGAACGACCTTTCGATGTTGCAGTGAAGGTTGCCCCCTAACCTAAAAAAAGATGTGAAATATCTTACATATTAATAAGATGTGAGAAGATTACCTCATTACAATCGTGCTTGGAACATCGACGTAAACAATCTTTCGAGACTGCAATAAAGATTGCCCTCCACATCGAGGAATGCTATAGAGATGATCTTCAAGATGCAATGGAAGTTCCTTCGCCAGTTGATGTCGTACATCATTGGAAAATGATGTAGGGGCTCGATGTCTAAGAGTTGAAGACAGTGTCGAACGAGACTTTGCTTCCCACAGAAGGCGTCAAAATGATGCGTGTTAGAAAATTTATGGTGGTAGAGTAATGGATCATCATCTTAGCGTGGTATCAAGATTCAACATACTTACAAAAGATAAAACAACTAATAATGACACTAGAATTTTTGCGTGGAATTGACTATCGCCCAAGTTATATTAATAGGGCCTTCACGTTTAGAATTATAAATAATTGCATCATATTGCATGTCTCAAGGAGAAGTCCCTATGCTTCTTTGACCTGATTGATCCAACATAGATTTCTACTTAGGTGGTTGTTTAGCACAATTAAAATGCTAGAGTCTTCCTCGACTTATACGAGGTATAAGTCTTTTGTGGGAGTGTTTTTAGCTTTGTAGCTAGATCTCTTTTTTCTCTTCTTTCCAGTAGCATCTTTACAATTTATTTGGCGAGTATAAATCCCACCTTTATGAGCTCTACCTTTATATGATCATAAGACTTAGAGTTTCCTTTTTTTACAGTAAGGATACAGAGATTTTTTTGGACGATGCAATTCACAGATTATTGACAGTGACTCTCTGGTTATATTGGGTCGACTATATTCATGACCAGACAGACTTTGGGTCAAAATAGCTTGGGATGATGGATTCCTAGTATCCTGACCTAGTCATCTCTACCCTATTAGGATAACTATACCTCTCCTTTGTTGAGTCCTTTTGATTCATGTCATCATTTTGTGCCTTGTTGATGTCTCGTAGGCTCTAATTGCAGATAAGCTACCGCACATTTGAGATACTGTGATTCACCCTCTACTATTATGACCCAGTTAGGCCCTGGAAGCATAGTCTTGATCCTATGAGTTGATTTGGTTATTTCATGGGCCTCATACGCCAATGAGTTACTACTCATTCAGGATGTGAGATATTCATTCTATGCCTTGTAGCTTAGTGAGAGCTTTGAAAGCATATAGATGTTCGTATGAAATAACCATCATTTTGGTGATCTATTTACTGATCCTGATAATGTAAGCAATGTTCTTTTTATTGAGAGTATTCTTGGATATCTCCTAATATGTAATTAACTAAAGTGATACATTTCTTTGGGAGTGCTATTGACCCCAAACAAAAATATTATTTTTTATACTCTAGTTATGAGTGACTTATGCAGAGATTTTCTTCATGGATACTATGTTTTGAGGTATTTCGATCCGAGCTTATTCAAATGAATACTCTTAACCTATCACAAAAGACAACCTTACATAATCCATCCATGTGTTTTTTTTAAATTTGTTTGGACCCGTTTTTTCCAATTTCTCTCACGTTTAGATAATTTTATGTGATTCAAGAGAGAGCTTTATTTGGAAAGAGAAATCATATGACGACGACATATAAATGATAAAGTAGACTGTTCTGAGTTTTTAAAAGAATAAAAAGCAGTCATTATAGTAATTTTTATTTAAAACAACTATAACACAATAGATCATACAAACATACATACTACTTCACTATAAGTTGTTCTCTAACAAAAAATTACCTAATAACAACTTCATAAATGCTTATTCAATAAGTCGCACTTGTCTCAAACTAAAATCTCATTATTCTAGTTTATAAATAAAAATTTTGCAATCTGTATTTAATTAAACTTATATAAAGTCCACTACATTACATCATACCATAATAAACTTTACTAGATTTTTTCTGTAACTTATTCTAATAAAATCTAATTGATGCATGATCAATAACTTTATCATTCGACACAAATCTCAAGGCATTTGACACAAATCTTGAGATATTTTTGGTGGTTAGAAGCGTTACAATTCACATTAAAAATAATACAAAATTTTGATTTCAACATTCAAACTGACCAACTCGATGAGAAGAACCCAACAAAATTTATCAAATTTGAGTTAAACCAAGCCCATATCTAACAGTTAAACCGTTTTTTGTGGCTTTGGGCGGGTAATTGGAATGTGAAATGGACTCTAAATTTGACAAATTTATAGCCAAATCAAACGTCTCTATGAAATAAATCAAACAAACACGATATCACTCAATTTCAAATTTATCAGGACACATAAACAATCATAAAATCTCAACTAATTGATGGAATCACTCTGGGTCATTTGATGAAATGATCCAAATTCATGCAATATTTATGGTTTTTGTCGCCAACTTATACTATTGTAGCATATGTGACTAGTTACTGTTGCAACGTCCCACTACGACCTATGTGACTATTTATGATCTATGTGGCTCACTGCTATTGCAGCTCCTCAACTATGACTGTTGCAGCCAACAGACGTTATTGCAGCCCCCATTATTGCTTTCATGGACAACTGCTATCATCACAACTCTCCGCTCAATGCTTGTGGTTAAGTAACGCTCTTACAACTATCTTTTACGACCTATACAACCAAATTCTATCATAGTTGTCCAATAATACATATGTGACCAACTGGTCTCATTACTTCCTCTCACTACAACTTGTGGCCAACTAACACTCTTGAAATTGCCAACGATGGCTAAGTGGTCAACTACTATGACTTTCAACTACGACCATTATTGTATTTTGATGTCATTATCACTATCATATGTAACATTTGAGGCAATCTAGTGACTTCGTAGCAATCAAAAACTATTTTTGTGGCCCACTATCTCTATTATTGATAAGAACTACAGTTGTTATGGGCCAATCACAACCATGAAAGTCTACATTTGTAATTATCTGCTTTGTGATTCTCTCTTTTTGAATTTAGAAGAAGAGTTTACCAACACTCACAATTACATAGTAATTTAGTTGGGCAGGTTAGGCACCACGATTTTTCCCCTCCAAAAATATTTCATATAAAAATTTTCGTCCTCTCTTCCTTCTATATTTTTTTTTCATTTGTGCGTATGTCAAGTCTAATTATTAGGTGCGGAGAGCGCACGCAGAACTGTGTGCGCTCTCCGATCACAACCGCACATCGCGGCTATATGGCAGTGGGACGCGGAGAGCGCATGCAGAGCTACGTGCGCTCTCCGATCACATCCGCACATCGCGGTTGTATGACAGTGGGACAACCGCGATGTGCGGCTGTGATCGAAAAGCGCACGCAGCTCTGCTTGTGCTATGTGCACCCAATAATCGCTCGTATGTCAGCCCTTCCTATAACACTCATGCGTTAAATTATTATTCAATTGCAACAAATTTTATGGCATGCAACAGTAGTATAATACAGGTATAATATATTATATGCTTAAATGTTATAATACAGTATCACATTATACTCCATTATTTTACTCGCAGTTTCCTCAACTATATTATAATATATTATTTCATACTAAACCAAACTATTTCATGCTATTTTTTATGACACTATATTATCTTATTATATTATGTTACGTCATTTCCTACTATATACTACTTTTAAATAAAATCAGAATATTCAGCTAAAATCCTACCATATTATTCATAATCTAATTGATTTGATCTGCATCAAAAGCTTCGATTTTCTCAAAACTCCTCCCATAATCAAACCAAAACTAACTCAGAATAAAACCAAAAGCTTCGATTTTATCACCCCTTTTCTCCCCCTTTCCTGCAAACCTGTAACCATTAATCTGGCTCTGTTTTGAATATATAATAATCACAGAACCGTGATCCTATCAACCTACTCTCATTCCATGCTCTACTAAAAACTATCCAACATAGGCGGCAGATATAGCGAGCAGAAAATTAATAACATTGACGAGAAACGCACCTCAGAGCTCAGAGGAGGCAGGCGCCTTAGTTGCAGAAGTGATGGATGAGATTGGTAGAACTGACTGAAGCAACCCCTGCTTGATTGACACATAACTTTAATCCACAGAGAAAGGAGGTTATTCAGATCTCTGCTTTGTTTTCCACTGATTCCATGTCTTCTTCCTTTATCTTGACCGTCTTCTTCAATTCACGGCCTCCTCGCCATGTACTCCTCTCATATTTTGTGGTACTGAGCAGTTCCTTCATCTTCTACTTTCCATCTTTTTTTTTTTGGGTTCTTACATTTTCTTGTTTGGTCGACAATGGGTTTCAGCGGTATGGAGAATGCGAGGAATGGAGGGATGGAAGAAGCTGCTGGTGGATTCCATCTAGGAGACTCTGTTCTTGACCTCACTCGAAGTAGTAAAATGTCTTGCGCTATTAAAAACGAGATTTTTTTTTTTGGAGAACTTTTTGGTTCTTTTTTCTGATTCGTTTTTTGTTTGTTTCTTGCGAATGGCAAGGTCCCATTCTTAGCCCCAGGTCGTCTTCTTGCAACCATTATGGAGGATTGGGGCATGTGGGGCTAAATATCTAAATTCTTCCTCTTTAGATTTTTTATGAGTTTTGTTTTTTTCAAAAAATTATTTATAATTGAAATATTTCTGTTTTTTGGTTTGCAGAGTGTTCAGACTATGGAAATGGTCGGCAGGATCTGCTTTCAAAGGGAGGGTTTTGAGAACGGGGCTGATTCAGCAATGGTGGCTGGAGCTCTCAGGGCTGATGGCATTGATCCCTTTGATAGAATACGTGAGGTTGGGTGTTCTATTTCCATTTAAAGGTTCGGTTCGCTGTAAAGTGTTTGACTTTTGGATGTCTGAGTTGTAGTTGGTAGATGAGAGATTTACCTCCTGCGGCGGCGGCGGTTATGGTGGTGGTGGTCGTGTGTCTGTGGATTCTTCTGCTGTGTCTATGGAGAAAGCAATCGATGATAAAGTTTGTATTTTTTTTCCTTTTCATTGAGTTTGTTGTGTGATTAGCTTTATTTACATTAAAACAATTTAATCTACACAATGCAGATAATCCGGCGGTTAGCACAGAATCGGGAGGCGGCGAGGAAAAGCCGGCTAAGGAAAAAGGTTAGAGTTTTGGGTCCTTTCTGTATTCCTACTTGGATTTATTCTACTTTTCTGAAAACTTGAGCAGGTTCGATTCAGAAGCTTGTATTCATCATTAGCGAAACAATGAGTAATGAGTGAGAAATATTAGAGGAAGAGAGTATACATTTATGCGTCTAGCACTTGTCATTTCATATTTGCACGCATTAGCAAGACTTATTTTTATTATTTTTTTTGTGTTAGTTTAGTGTGGAAGTTACAAAAAAGTAGGCTTCATACTTTGGTTTTCCTCATGTGGCATTTGGTATGACAATTAATGTATGGTTTCATACTTTAGAAATTATTGCAGCAATTGCATTCTTTATTAATATCCTTTCTCAGTTTATATTCATTTTGGTGTGAAGAACTTAACCAATTTTCTCATGTTAAGAGCTTTATTAGACTCCTTCCAATTCACCTATTCCAACTCCTTTAAACTCCTTAACTTAATTACTTTCACCCGCACTTTCCCTTGGTCTGTAGGATTTTGTTACTAGGCAATATTCTTTGGAGTCTAATTAAAGAGGTAGATATTTGTCCTAGTTGATTCTTGATATTTCTTTAGCCGCAAACTAATTTTCTGAGAAAATTAGGGTGAAGAAAAATAAGTAATCTACACAAATCCAGAAGAACACAGAAACGTCATTGGGAGCAGAGCGGCGATTCCTTTCACTATTCAGAAAAGAGTTTATAGAAATCAGAGATATCTCCTGGGGTTACTAACAGATCTATTTATAATCCCAAGAGTAAACCATAATCACAATATGTAATTACAATATTAGCCCTGTACCATACCGCGGGGCTTTGCCCCCGCACCCTAACCCACATAACTTCCCAATTTGGACAGATTATTCCACTCCGCTCCGCTCCGCTTCGATTCAACATCTGTTCCTATATGGTATATGAGCCATACCATAACAAATATACTATTGCATCTAGACTTGGCGAATATCCAACCCCTTAGGAGAAAAATATGTGGGAGTTACACCTGCACCACTGTAGGTTGGGCCACCATGCTTCTCTAGCAACTGCAAACATTCAACAAGTCCAAGCCCAAGCAATACAATACAAGAACTTGTTGATAGTAACTGACTTGGTCAACATATCAGTTGCATTCTCATCAGTATGAACATTCTGCAACAGTATCTCCCCAGAAGGTTCAACAAGTCACAATATGTAATTACAACATTACCCCTGTAACATACCGCGGGGCTTTGCCCCCGCACCCCAACCCACGTAACTTTTCAATTTGGACAGATTCTTTCGCTCCGCTCCGCTTCGATCCAGCGTCTGTCCCTATATGGTATATGAGTCATACCATAACATTTTCTAACTGATTTCTCATTTGTAGCACTATCTCTTCCGCATATAATTTATTTTTCTTATATTGGGAATTGTAAGAGAATTCAAGCGTCTAGGTTTGGTCTAGGGATACTGTCGTTTTGTTTCTTCCAATTTCTTATAGAGTTAGATTGGCATCTACCACACCAATGGTGTCATATTCATTGGTCGTTGTGGTTCTAGTTAAAAGTAGGGGGGCTCCTCCAACCTGAGTTATATCTATTAAAATATGGGTTATTGGGTATGTTATTACTTACATTCGTACAGTCCACACAAGCACTACAAGGATCAACTAGTTATCCATAGGCCTTATGTTCCATTGTTAGTGATTTTGTTGTTGAATTAATGTCTAAACTATTTAACTTTCTGGATATGACAAATACTTGTAAAGTTGAGATTAATAACGCGTTCGTGTTTTGAAGATTGCTACCTTCTTTGGTTTGATTTTCTCGGAGCACAATTGAAAATTATTTGTAGTTATTTCATTAAGTAATGAATAGACCTCCTCAAATGGTTGGATGTAGGGTGCTTCCTCGGTGCCACATTTATAATTGACCTTAACAATCCCAAAAGCATGTTGTAAAAGACTTGAATGATAAACCAATCAGGTAGGGCATAGTGTGGGTGTTATGAAATATATATACCGGAGCAGTTGATGTAGTATATATATAAATCAAACAGGAGAACGATCGACGAAGCGAAAAATAGAACGAGAAAAATTACACCAGAAAAGACACACACAGATTTACGTGGTTCGACAAATTGTCTACGTCCACGGAGTTGCAGAGGATTTTACTACTTGAGGAAATTTACACTAGTCGATCACCTCGACTTACAAGAAGAATCACTCACTCTTCATTGCTCTCTCTCTTCTTCTTCTCTCTGTTCTTCTCTCTCTACACCGAGATACACCGAAGAAAACTCTACACCGAGATACACCGAAGAAGACAAACTTACAAGAGAAATAAACCCAATTTCTCTTCTGCTACAAGCCACCAAGAAGAAGCCTAAGGAGAACAATCTTCTTCCTTCTTCTTCCTTCTGCCGCAAGAAACTACCCCTCCTTGCACTTCTTCGCTTCCACTGTCCGGTGGAAACCCGAAGAACTCTTCCTCTATTCCGAGGAAACCTAAAGAAGAAAATGGTGACTTCTTATATTTTTAGGTACGAAGGAGAGCCTCTCCTTTTATCATGAAGATAAGGGAGCGAAGGGATGCTTCTCTTCGTGAAATAGAGGAGGCAGAAACGGTTTCTGGCGAAGGGATGCTTCTCTTCGCGGAATAGAGAAGGCGGGAACGATTTTTGGCGAAGGGATGGTTCTCTTCGCAAAAAAAAAAGGAGGGAGTGGTTATTTGTGAAAATGTGTGACCTTTTGCGATCAGAAGCGTCATTTCGCGAAAACAGAAGGAGATGCGGGAGCGGGAGTTTGCGGGTTGGGTGGACCGGACTCCACGCCGACGCTAACAGTGGGCACTTCATAAGTAGTTCTTTGAATTTCTCTCAAGCTTCATAACTAGTCTCCCCCTCTAATGGCGCTACACTTTCCCACGATGGCGTCTTGTCACATGCAGGGCTGCAATTATAATTCTTGGGGTGCTTCAGCTGAACGCGTTGACTTTAAAATGATTTATTTTATAAATATTAGATTTTTTAGGTGTTTGGGATGTAAATCCTTATGTTTTACGTGTTAAGTACTTAGAAACTCCTCCCTTTAAATACTTTGGATGCATGTGTAATGCTTCAGGCCATAAAAGCTATGATTTCTGGTGTAGTAATCATCTACTTGTGAAGTAGGCATATGTTCATCATCTCGAAAGCAGTCGGTTGAAGTTGATACAAGTTGAACAGGAGCTTCAACGAGCAAGGCAGCAGGTATTTAAAGTCTTAATCCTACTTTACTTTGGTTGTTATCAAAATTTACCTCTTTTTCTCTCATGTTTTGCAGGGTTTGTTCAGTGCTAGTGGTTACATGGGAAATCACGGCCTTTTAGTGGGAGTAAATGGTATATTTGCTTAAAATTTTCTTGATTTTTAACTGTCTTGATGTCAAAGTTGGCACTAAACTTTGCTGTTGTCAAGCAAATGAAAAAAAAAAAAAAACATAAGGGAAATTTACATATTCGATACATGTCACACAATTCTTATGCATTGACATATCTAACACTCAAAGTTTGATATTTTCATTTATATACCTTGGTATTAAAAACTTATAAATGAACATGTGAAATTCACTTTTAAGAAGTTAGTGATAGTGATATTTTTGATGTGATGTTGAACATTTGAGTGTTATGCATGTAAATATGAACGTTTAGGTGTTAGAAATATAATGATATAAGAATTGTGTCTTGTTTATGTAAACGCCCCTAAACATAATTTGCATCGGCAATATTTTTATTGGTTCTATCTGTCCCTTTTCTATATTTGTTATTAAGGAATGATGATACCTGCAAATATGTTCTTTCTGAATGTTTTGCGAGAAAATCTTGCATGCAAATAAAGAAATGATACTTAACCTCAATATAAAAGTAAAATATTACATTGCATGGATCTAAAAAGAAACTTACAAAATGATCCTAAATATTTATTTATTATCAAAAACAATTTAGGAGCCTTGGCCTTTGACGTGGAGTATGCTCGATGGCTCGACCAACATCAAAACCAAATAAGTGATTTGAGGTCCGCCCTAAACTCTCAAGCAGAGAACGAAGAGCTGGGACTTCTCGTTGATGGTATAATGGCGCACTACGATGTCGTCTTCAAGCTCAAAAGCATCGGTACCCGTTCCGACGTCTTCCACATGCTTTCTGGATTGTGGACGACACCTGCCGAACGATGCTTTATGTGGTTGGGCGGTTTTCGTTCTTCTGAACTTCTCAAGGTGAATATCAAATTTGCAGCACATTTTTGCACTTTGACACAGAAAGATTGTTGATAAATTTGTAAATGTTTTCAGATGCTCGTGGGTCAGCTGGAACCGTTAACGGATCAACAGCTGATAGGTATATGTAATCTGCAGCAGTCGTCGCAGCAGGCGGAGGATGCTCTTTCTCAGGGAATGGAGGCTTTACAGCAATCTCTTACTGATACTTTGTCGCCTGCTTCCTTTAGTGCTAATCCTTGTTCTGATAATGTTGCTAATTACATGAACCAAATGGCTATTGCAATGGGGAAGCTTGGCACAATTGAGAATTTCCTTCGCCAGGTTTGAAACATATATATCTAACCCCTAAACTTTACTTTTCTGACATTTATGTCACCTAAAATTTTCATGTCTCATAAAAATACTTCCATTTTAACTTTTAAAAAATGAAATGCATTTTTGTATGCATAGGTGAGGTGGTGTGAATGTAAAAGTTGAAGTTTAGTTGTTATGTAATTACATAAGATTTGATTGGGTATGCATGTAAATCTTTTCTTTTTTCTGTTAAATGTTGCAAACATTACCTCAATTTGTGTGCTTAATTATGCTTTTGTTAAGTTGTAATTTGTAATCAAATACTTCTTTTGTTTTCATTATGATATGAGTAAGTGGCCGACGATGATTCATTCCAGAATTTTACTTTGGGGCATATACACACATGCAAACCAATGCTTTATGTATTTACATCTATAACACCTAAACATTATTTTTTTACATTTATACCACCCAAATCTTTCATATCAAATAAGAAAATACCATCATTTCAGCTTTTAAAATGTTAAACGCATCTTTCAGGCATAGGCAACATCGTATTTATGTAAAAATTGATGTTTAGATATTAAGATACGTAAATACATGGGAATTAGATAATATGTAAAAAAATTGTCCTTTTATTATTTTTATTATTTCCTTGCATTTAATTTGTTTCCTCCAACTTCTGTTATTAAAGATTTGCTTTTCCTTTATCCCATCTATGAAATTTTCCATAAATTTTCATTGTTTTTTCAAACCAGGCCGATCTTCTACGACAGCAGACATTGCAGCAGATGCATCGAATACTGAATACTCGTCAGGCAGCTCGAGCTCTACTTGCCATCAGCGACTACTTCTCTCGGCTTCGAGCCTTGAGTTCGTTGTGGTTGGCTCGACCAAGAGATTAGTAGGCCATATTTATTATCCTATAATTGATGAAATGAGCAAAAATGTATATTGATGCTAATTGTAGTTGATGCAGTTGTATGTTTAATGTTGCTGGTGTTAGTGAGAGTCACTGCTGCGGCTTTAGGCTTTAATCAGGTACTGTTATGGTTAGATGAGTTGTTGATGAATCCTTTCGAGAGTTCTAGTTATTTTATGTATATTTTGATGTTGATTGGAATGGATTACATATTCATTGCTATAGTTCTTGTATTGATTGTTAGAAGTTGTGACAATCAAAATTGTAGGAAAATTATGAGATTGCTGGTTTTGCCACTTAAATGCAATAACATGTCAATCAAATGTGCATCGTATATAGATCCTTTGATGTTATTTATTCCTTTTTTTTTCTTTGCTTTTTGAGAGCTTTTGTATATTATTAAAGGAAGCAACATGTATGTAGGTGATTGAATGTTTGTTCACATAATGTAAGTCTTAACTAAAAGAAGGTTTGCACACACACCACTGAAGTTTTATGTATTTAAATATCTAACATCTAAATTTGAAATTTTACATGGCACCTTGTATGAATGAATTGGTTAAAATAGTGGTATTTTTTATGTGATATGAAAGATTTGGGCGGTATAAATGTAAAATATATCTTTATCTAAATAGGAAGGTGTTTTATTTATTTCAAAAAGTGAGGAAATGTGTATATGTTTTAGCAACTTGCATATGGTTGCACCTATGTACTTCTCTACTCTTTTCATAAAGTCAACATTTAATGTTCTTGCACATATGCTTAAGAAAATTAATTTTGTTGATATATCTAAAATGACATGTTAGAATTTGATCAAACAACAATATGGGTAGTATTCTTTGAATGAATCTATGAAAATCATGATTTTTCATTCTATATAATGTTTAATATATCTTTTGTTTGGTTGAAAGTTCATATTTAATATATGACATTATTTTAAAGATAATTTTATCTTATACGCCACATCAAGATTATATCATATGATATTAGTTTTTCAATGTTATAACTCTTAAAAATACTTTTCTTATTTCAATTTCTTTTTTTTTTCCAAATCTAATTTTCCTTTCTTCTTATGCTTTTTTACCTAATGAGATTTAGGCTATACATGTTACCCTCACAACAATATCATTGCTATATGGAAATGAGGGTAGAAAGACTTTCTCAATAGTTTCTCCTTTGAATTTTTCTCTTTGCATTTGAAATGAGTGGTCTATATAAGTAATAACATGAGATGACAGTTAAATATAAGTAATTGTCAAATGATTATAATGAAAATCATTTTGAGTGCTCCATACAATTTTGACATGTTAATCTAACATGAGTTTCCTCCAAACAATATTACTTAGAATAAGAAACCATTACTCGCCTAAAAAATAACTATTGACATAAGAAAACCTACTTTTTGATGCATTTGTATGTGTTGGGGCCCTTTAATTCTTTCATCAATTAAAGCCCTAAACATATATCTATTTCTTTGGTAGGTTTTTGTGAATGTATTATCAATGATGATTGTAAATTAAATGGTAGTAGTTTCCTCGTCTAATTAAGTAAAATATTGATTACATTAAGAAGTAACCTTGCATACTACATGAGGTGAACTCAAGCTAATACCACCTCAGTGGCTGGTCAGCTCTTCAATATTGCAAGCAATGAAACCAATGCCTTAGTTATCAGGGATTTCATGTATAGTTTGTTTTTCTTATTATGTATTAAACTCCTTATCTCCAGCTCTTAATGAAATTGTTTTACTCTTAAGGAGATTATCATCTTGACAAAAATAGTCATAAATGCTTAACCTTTTTGATAACTCTAAACTTGACCATTTCATCTTTTTCAAAATTATTTTGCTCAAATCAACTGTCAAAATCTTCATTCATAAACTTTAATGATTTTTTTGGCATCGAGAGTTTAAGAATGACATAATATATTCATTGATCATGATCATTACAAATGGGGCCCATCATCCAACATGTCGAGTGACCGATAATTGGGTACATTAATCAAGTCTAAGGGCATGATCTGTTATATTTTTATTTATGGCTCACATTTATTTTAATAACTTATGAGATTTATTTTTGATAACTTAAGTTATTAATTTTCATAACTCATAACTTATGTCATAAATTATGACAACTTATGATATTTATTTTGATAACTTAAGTTATTTATTTTCTTAACTCATAACTTATGTCATAATTTATGATAACTTATGATATTTATTTTTGCAACTCTATAACCCCTAAAATAAATAAATGTTACTAACTTATGTCATTGATTTTATTAATAAAAATCAATTAATTTATTAAATTATCATAAATCCTATTGGTTAGTAACCCCCTTGATGGATGGTGAATAAATAGAGCATGAATTTGAGAATGGGTCCTCTCTCTACCCAACACACCTCGTACATTTCTCTCCATCAGAAAGTACAGAAAGTTTTAAGGGATTAAAGAGAGAAACTCCATCTCTTCAAGATCAAATTTGTTCATCATGAATACAGGTATGCGTCGCTTTATTTTTACATATGTAAAAATCATGAATTTAAAAGATCTTGGCTATTATGTACTTTTCTTTTGTAATTTGTGTATAAAGTTGAAACATGAATTTTCTAACA